ATCCGGCACAGATGGAAACAGGACATGTTTCCTTAAGCCACCTGCTGTCCCTGTTCACCTATAAGTAAAATAAGTACCTGGGTGTTAGTCGACTCGTGTGGGTCACATCCTGGGACAAAATTGACTTAATTTGCCCGAAATGCTTTGCATAACAATGGGCTTTCTAAATAGTAGTGTCATTGATGTTATCTAGGCCTGTATACATAGTACATGTACTTGTAGAAATAAGGATTATTATTATTGAAGTGACTGCCACTAGCGCAGCTCTACTCGTCTTCACCCGAGACCTGGAGTTTACCTGGAGAAAGTTCCGGGGGTCAACGCCCCCGCGGCCCAGTCTGTGACCACCTGGTGGATCAGAGCCTGATCAACCAGGCTGTTACTGCTGGCTGCACGCAATCCAACGTACGAGCCACAGCCCGGCTGGTCAGGTACCGACTTTAGGTGCTTGTCCAGTGCCTGCTTGAAGACAGCCAGGGGTCTATTGGTAATCCCCCTTATGTATGCTGGGAGGCAGTTGAGCAGTCTCGGGCCCCTGACACCTGTTGTATTGTCTCTTAACGTGCTAGTGACACCCCTGCTTTTCATTGGGGGGGTGTTGCATCGTCTGCCGAGCCTTTTGCTTTCGCTGCGAGTGATTTTCGTGTGCAAGTTCGGTACTAGTCCCTCTAGGATTTTCTAGGTGTATATCATGTATCTTCCGCTACAAGTGTGAATATAGGCTACAAGTTTGAATATACACATATTCTCCAATAATCTCAACCTTCTACTAAGTAGGATACACCAGTGTTGAAAGCTTGAAACCACCCAGATTATTTCTCTAAGTTATTGCATGGGAACTAAATCCAAGAACGGCCTATAAAAAATCAACTAGAGGGTACTTGCCATGCCAATTTTTTGCATATGACCAGGGTTGAAAAATTGAAGCCGATCAGTTAGTTTAATATCTTTATTATGCACCCCATACCCATCCTGTGGGCGGTAGTCAAAAGATTACAAAGGTACATAATGGGTCCAGGGACTGGACCCTAAAGTTATGATAGCTGAACTAGTTACAGAGGTAATGAACTCCAGGTACATCTGGTCACAATCATGGCAAGTTACAAAGGTAATGAATCAGCCGCTGTATAATCCTCCGGGTTTAGCGCTTCCCCCTTGATTATAATAATAATAATGAATCAGCCTCACTCCTTGTAATGAACAAATTACAAGTAATGAGCCACTGATACGTCCACACCTGGTCACAATTGTAATGAGTTATAAATACATATATTAAGTGGGTCATACACCCACTCGAGCGCGCGCGCGCACACACACACACACACACACACACACACACACACACACACACACACACACACACACACACACACACACACACACACACACACAGGAGATTTAAGGAAGTTTTTACAGTAGAGACAGGAAGGGCTCTGGGAAGACAGCACAGAAGGGAACATCAACAGGGAATATACCAACAAGTGTTGGATGACATATGAACAACCGAGGAGGAGGTGCAGAAGCTGCTAAGTGACCTTGATACCTCAAAGGCGATGGGACCGGACATCTCCCCATGGGTCCTTAGAGAAGGAGCAGAGATGCTGTGCGTGCCTCTAACCACAATCTTCAACACATCCCTTGAAACTGGGCAACTACCTGAGAAATGGAAGACAGCAAATGTAGTCCCCATATTTAAGAAAGGAAACAGAAACGAGGTGCTAAACTACAGACCTGTGTCTCTGACATGTATTGTGTGCAAAGTCATGGAGAAGATTATCAGGAGAAGAGTGGTCGAACACCTGGAATGGAACAAGATTATAAATGAAAACCAGCATGGGTTCATGGAAGGCAAATCTTGTATCACAAACTTCCTGGAGTTTTATGACAAGGTAACAGAAGTAAGACGAGAGAGAGGGGTGGGTTGATTGCTTTTTCCTAGACTGCAGGAAGGCCTTTGACACAATTCCCCACAAGAGATTAGTACAGAAGCTGGAGGATCAGGTGCATGTAACAGGGAGGGCACTGCAATGGATCAGGGAATACCTGACAGGGAGGCAGCAACGAGTCATGGTACGTGAAGAGGTATCACAGTGGGCGCCTGTGAGGAGCGGGGTCCCACAGGGGTCAGTTCTAGGACCAGTGCTATTTTTGATATATGTGAACGACATGATGGAAGGAATAGACTCTGAAGTGTCCCTATTCGCAGATGATGTGAGTTGATGAGAAGAATTAAATCGGATGAGGATGAGGCAGGACTGCAGAGAGACCTGGACAGGCTGGACATGTGGTCCAGAAACTGGCTTCTCGAATTCAATCCTGCCAAGTGCAAAGTCGTGAAGATTGGGGAGGGGCAAAGAAGACCGCAGACGGAGTATAGGCTAGGTGGACAAAGGCTACAGACCTCACTCAGGGAGAAAGACCTCGGGGTGACCATAACACCGAGCACATCACCGGAGGCACACATCAACCAAATAACTGCTGCAGCATTCGGGCGCCTGGCAAACCTGAGAATAGCGTTCCGATACCTTAAGGAATCGTTCAAGACACTGTACACTGTGTATGTTAGGCCCATACTAGAGTATGCAGCACCAGTCTGGAACCCACACCTGGTCAAGCACGTCAAGAAGTTAGAGAAAGTACATAGGTTTGCAACAAGGCTAGTCCCAGAGCTCAGGGGAATGTCGTACGAGGAAAGGTTGAGGGAAATCGGACTGACGACGCTGGAGGACAGAAGGGTCAGGGGAGACATGATAACGACATACAAGATACTGCGGGGAATAGATAAGGTGGACAGAAATAGGATGTTCCAGAGAGGGGACACAGGAACAAGGGGTCACAACTGGAAGCTGAAGATTCAGACGAGTCACAGGGACGTTAGGAAGTATTTCTTCAGTCATAGAGTCGTCAGGAAGTGGAATAGCCTAGCAGTTTTAGGAAGAGGTATGATAAAGCTCAGGAAGCAGAGAGAGAGAGAGGACCTAGTAGCAATCAGTGAAGAGGCGGGGCCAGGAGCCGAGTCTCGACCCCTGCAACCACAATTAGGTGAGTGTACACACACAAGCACACACACACACAAGCACACACACACACACAAGCACACACACACACACAAGCACACACACACACACCCCTACTCACACACACACATACGTACACAAAACAGGCCTACTGTCTAATCGACATGTGCCTAAGACAAAATGGTAACTAACACACGTGGTAATGCATTATTTACAGCTAGCAAAGTCAGGGTATTTCTCCAGAATGGTCTGTAATATACCACTGTGGATAAAATACTTTGCCATTTCTTGAACATGTCTGAGTGAGTTGTCTCTAAATTCATTAATTTTATCGCACTCCAGTACATAATGACGCAAGGTGTGACAATAGTCTATCTGGCAAAATTTACATTTCGTTTGGTCTACATCTGGTGGTGGTGATTTAACCTGCCAAAGACACTTGTAACCCAGCCGGAGCCGGGCGGTAGTGACATCCAAGAGTCTGCTTATTTTGTTGGATGCACCGTAGACATGTGGCTCCTCCTGCATGATAGAATGATGATAGATGGACTGACTTGTGTCAATCTCCCTAAGTCTTAAGTCAGTAAAGTTCAATTGAAGTTCTTTTCGTATTATTGTTCTCAAACTGCTGACTGACAACCCAAGATTGTAATCTACCCCCCTTTGAAAGCATACAGCTTAGCCAATTTATCAGTTCTATCATGCATCTGAAGACCAATGTGAGATGGAATCCACAGCATGTGCACTCTGACTCCACTGTCCACAATCTTACCATACCTATGTCTGGCTTCTGACACAAGCATGCCACAGATGAGGCATTCTCAGATTATAAAACCTTGAGATAAAAAATCTGGCAGCTACTTAATAAAGGTGCCTATTCGGGAATAATAAAATATTATTTATTGATAGTTATAATTAGTGAATGTAGCGACAGAGAGGGAGGAGAATGATTTTTTATTTTTTAGGTAGCACGCATGAAAATGTAGATAATTCTTTTATAGTATAATAATAAGATATTCTCTACATTGTATAATAAGAAGGTATTAAAAGGACCCCAATGAAAATACGTCATTTTGACTTTTTTTTTTGTAATCCTAGTTTCTCGACACATACGCTACTATGTATGATAATGTAACTATCTATTTGTGTATACCTGAATAAACTTACTGAACACCTGGCGCCCACTCGTCTACTGGTGCAGGATGCTCGCACTCCTTCCCTTTCACTTCTCACGACTTTCTCCTCTTACCTATGAGTGTCAGTTCTCGCACCATACACAACGAACCCAGAGGACTTTAAATATTTATCTTAAGCATTTTTTTTAGGGGGGGGGGTTACAGAAACTATATACAAGATCATTATAATTATCAATAAATAATAAGTATTTTTATTATTCACTAATAGGTATCTTTATTCAGTAGCTGCCAAATTTTTTACCTCAGGGTTTTATAATCTGAGAATGCCTCATCTGATCGGTTTCAAATTTTCAACCCTGGTCATTTTATGCAAAAAATTGGCATGGCAAGTGCCCTCTGGTTAATTTTTTTTATCGACCATTCTTTGATTTAATTCATATGCAACAGAGAAATAATTTGAGTGGTTTCAAGCTTTCAACACTGGTGTATCCTACTTAGTAGAAAGTTGAGATTATAAGTGATATAACTTCATTATACCTCTTCTGATTGGCTTCAGTCTATAATGGCTTATGTTCTATATGGACATGATTGTACTCAATATGTATAGGCTTTGAAGAGGCAAATTTCCTAACTGAATTAACCACTTAACTTGGAATTGTTGAATTCAGGACAACAAGAATGCGTCTTCTGAGTAGCTTGAAGCTTGTAGCAGTGGTGGGCTTTGCTTGAAGGACGCTCCGGATGACACTGATATTAGATCTAATTCTGTTAATTGTGCTTTTACTCTATAACTAATTTTTTGCTATTCCCAATATTGTACAAGTAGCTGATGAGATTTTTATTACAGGGTGAACTGGGCATGGAGGCTGGCTATCTGGTGGAGACCCACACCGTGACTACAGAAGATGGTTACATCCTTACCCTTCACCATGTTCCTCGTTTTGCCAACCCCTCCAGACGCTTGTCCAGCATTAGGTCTACTAATACACACTCACGAGGTCGCAAGCGCAGGTATAGTGAGTGCACACTCATTCTTGAATGAGGTGCGGGTGTGTTGAGCTGACAGTTGGGGGGGGGGTCCTGAATTGTAAAAAAATAAGCTTCTCTCTTTTTTTTTCTTTATATATAATATATATATATATATATATATATATATATATATATATATATATATATATATATATATATATATATATATATATATGTGTGTGTGTGATCCCCACAAAATTCCATCTGGTTTGTGTGTGTACCACCAATATAAATGAACCTCCTTATCTTTTGATGTATGATAGATAAGACATCACTTTCCGCAAGAAAAATCAACCCTTCATAAGACATTTATTTGGAAAATTAATATTTATTTGAAAAATACACGGCAGTGAATAAAGAGATAATTGATTTAATAAACATTGCTGCACACTTTGGCATATAATCGACCAATGATGAACTTACCTGGAGAGGGTTTCGGGGGTCAACGCCCCCGCGGCCCGGTCTGAAAATTCTGATGTAAATTTCTCAAACTTATATTGTATCATGTAAATATGTAATTAATGTGTTTCTGTTGGGCTAAAATATATATGAAAGTGGGAGAGAACCAACAGAGAAGCCCTGCGGATACGCTGGGGTCCGAGAGGGGAGGTTTGGGTATGCATGGAACCAGGAAATTGGTGGTTCCGACGGCCAAAACGTGATTAGTGGTCTCATCTCATAATAGGAAGTGTTGTAACTGTTCCCAACGCACATTCGGGGACAGTAAGTTGTCGAAACCGCCATAGATTTAGATTTTTGCCACCTAAGTGGTAAAATCTAAATCTAAATTTTATGCTAAATCTAAATCTAAATTTTTGCGCTACCGTCCTATGGACGGTAGCGCAAGAGCATATGGATACATAAAAGGCCCAAGAACTAGGCCCCAAAGGGTTAACAAGAATACATATGGATTTATATCTACATATCTATAGTTCACTTATCTGTTACAAGCAAATTTAGGAAATTTGCTTCGTATATCTGGTATCTTATTTTCATTAATAAGATATCTTGACATGTCACATAGGTTATTATACTGTCTATCTCTGTATTCCTCAATAAGTGGACAATTAAGCACATAGTGTTCAAGACAGTGACCATATGCCTGATCACATAATTTACATTTAGTTTGATCAACATCTGTGCGTCTCCCAAACTGCCAGAAGTACTTGTAACCAAGCCTAAGCCTGGCCACTACAACATCAGTCAGTCTGTTCACATTGCAAGTTGCTCCATAAACATACTTATCTACGTTCATGTTATCATAGTGGGTTATAGATCTACTCAGGCTTCTAACTGCATTCCTATAATAATAATTTTCATTATTTACTTCTCTCCTAATATTATTCCTAATGCTAGACACAGATCTACCAAAGTTATATTCTACATTTTCCTTCTGGGTACTCTTCTTGGCTAACATATTAACTTTATCATGAAGGAGTAATCCAATGTGTGATGGGATCCATATCAATTGTACATTAATTCCTTTGTCCCTGATTTTTGAGTATCTATACCTGGCTTCTCCAATGAGCATGTTGTTGGAGTCATTATATGAGTTAAGAGCATTCAGTGATGACATAGAATCAGTAATAATGAGTCAAGCTCAGTGTCATAGGTTAGCTTTAGCGCCATTAGGATTGCAAACAGTTCAGTTTGCAATATAGACGCCCAATTGTTAATTCTTATGCCTAGTTCAACAAGTTTATTATCTTTCTTAACTAGGGAGGTGGCAACAAGAGCAGATGCAGCCCTGCCAGAAGACTCCTGTTTAGATCCATTAGTGTACATTACTTGTGATAACTTATTACTACCAGCTAGGCGAGAAATTTCTTCTTGAGCAGTTGCTTTAACATGTGATTTAAGAAAGGGATTACTAGCAATGAGCTTCTTGGGAGGGACTTGCAGGTACGTGATATTAAATGAACACATCTTCCATGGAGGGGTGAAATGCTCTTGTTGTCTACAGTCATACAGTTCATGCAGGTTATAAAACTTAATGCAATTGCACGTTTTCACAATCTATTTAGATCTGTGTGTATTTACTTCTAGACACTTAGTAAGGTTCATTGTGACAGTGTCTGGTTTATTTCTTAAAATTCTAATGCCGAGTACAGTGTTAATCTCAACAATCCTATCACTGATACTAGAAATACCTAGCTCCTTCCTCATATTAAGAACCTTTGTAGATTTGGGACAACCAAGAATAATTCTGAGAGCTTCATTTTGCATTAACTCCAAATGTCGGAGGGAACTTTCTCTTGCTAATATCAACATGGGAGCAGCATAATCAATTAATGACCTAACATAGGCTATGTAACCGCCATAATAGGGTGGAAATGACGGAAATTAGTGAACGCCGTGACGACGCCATGACGAACGAGTTCATTGCTCTTGTTATAATAAGGTTATGTAAGTTTCCTAAGATTCTTTTGGTGCAAAAATTATTTTTTTTTACATTAACATTAATGAAAAATATACATTTTTAAACGTATAAGAGAAAATTTTTAGAAAGGACTTAATTTTAAATGAGTTCTTGCTAATTGACCAGTTTTACATATTCGGCACGATATATATATATATATATAATATATATATATATATATATATATAATATATATATATATATATATAATATATATAATATGTATATGTCGTGCCGAATAGGCAGAACTTGCGTTTTTGGCTTAAATAGCAACGCTCATCTTGCCATATAGGACAAGTGAAAATTTGTGTATACAATAATTTCGCAGAAATGGTTCTGAACCTAACGAAAAATATATATTTCATTGTGTTTGTTTAGTATTAAATTACTGTAAATGTATTTAAAATATATTTAGTTGGGTTAGGCTAAAATAAATTGCACTTGTTATAATGAGGTTAGGTAAGTTTTCTAAGATTCTTTTGGTGCAAAATTAAAAATTTTTACATTAACATTAATGAAAAAAATATATCTTTAAACGTATAAGAGAAAATTTTAGAAAGGACTTAATTTTAAATGAGTTCTTGCTAATTGACCAGTTTTACATATTCGGCACGACATATATATATATATATATATATATATATATATATATATATATATATATATATATATATATATATATATATATATATATATATATATATATATTATATGAATAAGTCTCTTAACACCTGCTGCACCCAGTATCTAGAAGTAGATACTTGAGAGTTAGTTGAGTATTGTAGGTTGCATCCTGGGAAGATGTTGAACAGAACCTAATAGAAATAAGCTACACTGCTTGACCTTTAAGGTTACTATGTGAATAAAAAGTCTTCTTAGCAAAGATTGTAAACTGTGCCTTAAAAGCACATGCACATCACAAGGGAGCAAGTTCCTAACCCTGTTAATCCATACAGGAGGTATGAGACTTATGCTTCTGCCAATGTGACACTGAGTACATCAGAAAGTGTACAGGAGGACAAGCCAAGCCTAGAAGACATGGATGAGGTGCAGCTAAACACTACTGTAGACAACCTAGATGCACAAGCCTGGGAATACCCTAGCCATCCTTACAAGTCTGAGGACTATCAAGACTCGGAGAAAGTGGTATTTCTCCAGCATGGCCTCATGGGCTCCTCTGATAATTGGAACACAAACACCAAAGAAGACTCCCTAGGTGAGTGACGGAAAAAATGATCTAGCTAATTTTAAATAATAGAAAGCCATTGTATTAACATGTTCATACCCAGAATTATTGAATCTCAGTCCATGGCCTTTACATCTGAAGATGTTAAACAGGGCAATGATACTGGATCTAAATTTGTGTTAAGTACATTCATGTTTATTGTGAAATTAACCCTTAAACTGTGGGAAGTTTAAAAAAAATTTGCAGAATTTTAAAACACCAACAACTGAATGACAGCTAAAAAAGAAATCTAGCAAATATTGAATCCTTCCCTTTTTATGAGAGAATGGGAAGATAGGAGTAGGAGATATTAGGAAGGCATAAAGGGAAGAATAGAAATTAATTGCATCTTGAAGCATAGCTTCATAGCTTCCTACCTGCCATTACAAAGTAATGATGTTAGTGTACTGGTGAACTCTGGCCTTCATGACTTGCAGCTGATAGGCTTTTCAACTTTGCTCGGTTATCCTATGTTAAATCTGCATAATTTGGTTATCCTATGTTAAATCTGCATAATTTACAACCAGTGTATGGCTTTGACAATACCTTATTTAAACTGTTAAATAAATTTATAAAAATATCTAAAATTACTCTCCATGAGGAAGTGGAACAGATTTCTTCCTCCATAAGCCATGCGTGTCATAAGAGGCGACTACAATGCCGGGAGCAAGGGGGCTAGCAATATTACCCTTCTGTGTACATTATGAAAGTTGGAAAGAGAAACTTTTGTTTTACTTTTTGGGCCACCCTGCTTTGGTGGGATACAGCTGATTTGTTGAAATATCTAAAATTACATGTTGATTACTTGAATAAAGCTTTTCTTCCAACAAAATTCATCATAATATTCATGATAAGCAGACTAAGTTAGGTTGGGTGGGTTCTCTTCATCTGGATTCTGATATGGTTGCTGGCCATCTCCCACTGAAGTAGGGTGACCTGACAGAGAGGAAAACACTTTCATCTGTCATTCATTAAGTCAGTTTTGCCAGAAGAGCCCTGACATTACAGTTCAGATGTCCCACCAAACTGTAACAGCCCCATCCTTCAGTGCAGGTACTGTGCTTCCCACCTCTAGGACTCCAGTCTGGCTAACCAATTTCTCCAAATCCCTTCATAAGTATTACCATGCTTACACTCCAACAGTATGTCAAATAATAATAAAAAAACACTTGCCTTCACTTACTCCTATCTAACACAACAGACTTGGCCTAATGAATTATTACCTAATTCTACAGACACACCCATGCAGTGGACTTGATGAGCCTTTGTCTGGACTGATCTTTTTTTTTTTCTCCAAAATCTCTTGCATAGGAGGCATCTGTTATATTGTATTTTTTTAATTGCAGGTCTATAAATGTTCTTGCAACCCTAAAATATCCTAAGTATACTAACTGAACAAGTTGCACATTCAAATAATTGTCCATGATTTAATGCACTAATTCACAGGATGCACAAAAATTCAGGAAAATGGAACAGAGATCATTACTTGGGTATACTTTTTATTACGATGTTTGCATTTGCATAAACTGATGGCTCCAAAAAGAAATATCACTGGAGTCTTTTCAGAGTATAAATTTCTTTACAGCCTATCTGCTGTCTGATGCTGGCTATGATGTTTGGATGGGGAATTTTCGAGGAAATATTTATTCTCGCAACCATAATAGGTTCACAGATAATGATCCTAGCTTTTGGAGATTTAGGTAAGTGTGCACATCAGTGCTAAATGTAATGTGTATAAATGTAAAAAGAGCAAAATGAATGAAAATAAAATTGTTCACATGGAACAAAATAAATTTCAAGGATTGGTAAACGTTCTTACTCCAGCTTCGACGAGATGGCACGGTTTGACCTTCCTGCCATGTTGGATTACGTCAAGAACCAGACAGAGGTAAAGAAGCTTCACTACCTTGGTCACTCCATGGGCACCACAGTATTCTTTGCTCTTATGAGCTCCAAGCCAGAATATCAACAAAGAATTGCCTCGATGGTGGCTTTAGCTCCTGTTGCCACTGTTACCAGTATTACATCTCCCATCAAATATTTGGCACCATTAGTCAATGAGCTGCAGGTAAATGCAGACTTTAACCTCAGTTTATTTTTGACTTGTCATAATTACAATTAATGTAATTATGGTATTTTTGATACTGAGGCTCTCCCCAGGAAACTGATGGAAAAAGTTAAAAAGGTAATCGACTTTTTGCTAGTGAGGGCTTCTTGATCCAGGGAATGGACTTGTCCTTCCTTTCCTTGGCTTGAACCTGACTTGTTTCCTAGTCAGGGGAAGTGTTACACCTGTAGGGTTTAGCATTTCCCCTGAATAAAATAGAAAATAATATAAAAATTCACCCTCATTACCAGAACCATCAAAGCCTATGTATTTTAGCATTACAGGTACAGTCAGTTATAACCGTATACATCATTTGTACAGAAATGGATGACAAGGAAGATAATTATAAAATATGATGAAAGTACTGTAAGTTAAAAAAATGGTAATTACATAAATACGTAATAATAAACATTATAATATACAAAACAAGTACTTCGCTGCATTACACAGCAGCCCGTATCCACTTGCATAGGTGGTATACGCTCTGTTCTTTATATCTCTCTCCTCGGGCATTATCTATTCTGGATATTGCCTTTCTTGTTTCGTCATTACCGCCACCGATTCTGTTACTTGGCGATTTTAATGCCCATCATTTCCTGGGGGGGGGGGGGGGGTCTCGCTGTGATTCCCGTGGCATTCAGTTAGAGGCTTTTCTTGCCACTCACCCCCTCCATGTTTTAAATACAGGTACTCACACCCATTTTGATCCTCGGACTCACACTCTCTCTCGCATCGATCTCTGTCTGCTCTTCCTCCGCCGCATTAGACTTCACTTGGTCTGTTCTCCCGGACTTACATGACAGCGATCATTTCCCAATCATTCTTGCTTCCCCTTCATATTCACCACCTCTTCGCATCCCACGCTGGCAATTTGATCAGGCAAATTGGAACCTTTACTCACACCTAACTATTTTTAGAGAGGTTCCTTCTTCGTCCTCCATTGATGAGCTTTTACACCTCTTCTCGTCCTCCGTTTTAACCGCCGGTTCTAATTGTATACCCCAAACTTCGGGCAGGCATTCTCAGAAATGCGTACCTTGGTGGTCTCCTGCTTGTGCTCGTGCAGTACGTTTGAAACGCGCTGCATGGGGCAGGTACCGGTACAATAGAACCATGGAGAGACTTTTTGATTTTAAGCAGAAGCGTGCGATCGCTCGCCGTGTCATCCGTGACGCTTAACGCACTTGCTGGCGAGATTGTCTCCACCATCACCTCTGCTTCCTCTATGAGTGCAGTCTGGAAAAAAGTACGAAAACTGAGTGGTAAATATTCTCCTGACCCGGCTCCTGTTCTGCTGGTTGCCGGTGTTGATATAGCAAACCCACTAGATGTTGCCAATGAAATTGGCAATCATCTGGTCCGTATTTCTCAGGGACTCCAGCTATGCCCCTCGTTTCTTTACTCAGTCTGCCAGAGAGTTAGCACCCTTGGACTTTTCTTCTCTCAGAGAAGAACAGTATAATGTGCCTTTTACACTTCAAGAACTGGAGGCAACACTCAGCTTGCCGATCATCGGCAGCTGGGCCCGACGACATTCACATTCGTATGCTACATTTACATCAGTCAGCCCTTGCAGTCCTATTACGCCTTTACAATCTTATTTGGTCACAAGGAGTTCTTCCACAGCTGTGGAAATCTGCCATTGTTCTCCCTTTCCGCAAACCAGGCACTACGGGACATGAAACCTCCCACTATTACCTGGAGTTTACCTGGAGAGAGTTTCGGGGGTCAACGCCCCCGCGGCCCGGTCTGTGACCAGGCCTCCTGGTGGATCAGCGCCTGATCAACCAGGCTGTTGCTGCTGGCTGCACGCAAACCAACGTACGAGCCACAGCCCGGCTGATCAGGAACTGCCTTTAGGTGCTTGTCCAGTGCCAGCTTGAAGACTGCCAGGGGTCTGTTGGTAATCCCCCTTATGTGTGCTGGGAGGCAGTTGAACAGTCTCGGTCCCCTGACACTTATTGTATGGTCTCTTAACGTGCTAGTGACACCCCTGCTTTTCATTGGGGGGATGGTGCATCGTCTGCCAAGTCTTTTGCTTTCGTAGTGAGTGTTTTCGTGTGCAAGTTCGGTACTAGTCCTCTAGGATTTTCCAGGTGTATATAATCATGTATCTCTCCCTCCTGCGTTCCAGGGAATACAGGTTTAGGAAACCTCAAGCGCTCCCAGTAATTTGAGGTGTTTTATCTCCGTTATGCGCGCCGTGAAAGTTCTCTGTACATTTTCTGGGTCGGCAATTTCACCTGCCTTGAAAGGTGCTGTTAGAGTGCAGCAATTTTCCACCTAGATAGAACAAGTGACCTGAAGAGTGTCATAAATGGGCTTGGCCTCCCTAGTTTTGAAGTTCTCATTATCCATCCTGTCATTTTTCTAGCAGATCAAATTGATACAATGTTTTTGGTCCTTGAAGGTGAGATCCTCCGACTTTAATCACTCCCAGGTCTTTGACGTTGGTGTTTCGCTCTATTTTGTGGCCAGAATTTGTTTTGTACTTTTGATGAAGATTTAATTTCCTCATTTTTTACCATACTGATTTAATTGAAATTTCTCATCGTTGAACTTCATATTGTTTTCTGCAGCCCACTGAAAAAATTTGGTTGATGTCCGCCTGGAGCCTTGCAGTGTTTTGCAATGGAAGACACTGTCATGCAGATTCGGGTGTCATCTGCAAAGGAAGACACGGGTGCTGTGGCTGACACCCCTTGTCTATGTCGGATATGAGGATGAGGAACAAGATGGGAGCTAGTATTTGGCCTTGTGGAACAGGGGCTTTTCACCCGTAGCTGCCTCGGACTTTACTCTGTTGACGACTACTCTCTGTGTTCTGTTAGTGAGGAAATTATAGATCCATCGACCAACTTTTCCTGTTTTTCCCTTTTAAAGCGCGCATTTTGTGCGCTATTACGCCATGGTCACACTTGCGAAAGGCTTTGCAAAGTCTGTATATATTACATCTGCATTCTTTTTGTCTTCTAGTGCATTTAGGACCTTGTCCGTAGTGATCCAGTAGTTGAGACAGACAGGAGCGACCTGTTCAAAACCCCATGTTGCCCTGGGTTGTGTAACTGATGGGTTTCTAGATGGGTGGTGATCTTGCTTTTAGGACCCTTTCAAAGATTTTTTTGATATGGGATGTTAGTGCTATTGGTCTGTAGTTCTTTGCTGTTGCTTTAAATGCCCCCCTTTTTGGAGTGGGGCTATGTCTGTTGTTTTTAGTAACTGAGGGACGACCCCCCCTGTCCATGCTCCCCCTCCATAGGATGGAAAAGGCTCGTGATAGGGGCTTCTTGCAGTTCTTGATGAACACAGAGTTCCATGAGTCTGGCCCCGGGGCAGAGTGCATGGGCATGTCATTTAATCGCCTGTTCGAAGTCATTTGGCGTCAGGATAACATCGGATAGGCCCTTTTGTTTAAACAAATTTTGTGGCTCTCTCATAAAAAATTCATTTTGATCTTCGACTCTCAGTCTGGTTAGCGGCTTGCTAAAACTGAGTCATATTGGATTGAGTAGCTCACTCATTTCCTTGCTGTCATCTGTGTAGGACCCCTCTTGTTTAAGTAGGGGCCCAATACTGGACGTTGTTCTCGATTTTGATTTGGCATAGGAGAAGAAATACTTTGGGTTTCTTTCGATTTCATTTATGGCTTTTAGTTCTTCTCCGCGATTCCTGACTCCTAAAGGATTCTTTTAGCTTAAGTTCGATGCTTGCTATTTCTCTGACCAGTGTCTCCCTGCGCATTTCTGATATATTGACTCTTTTTAAACCGCTCTGTTATTCTTTTCCGTCGCCTGTAAAGGGAGCGCCTGTCTCTTTCTATTTTACATCTACTCTCCTTTTTCTTAGAGGAATAAGCCTTGTGCATACATCGAGTGCCACCGAGTTAATCTGTTCTAGGCATAAGTTTGGGTCTGTGTTGCTTAGTATATCTTCCCAGCTTATATCGGTTAGGACTTGGTTTACTTGGTCCCACTTTATGTTTTTGTATTGAAGTTGAATTTGGTGAATGCTCCCTCGTGACTAGTCTCATTTTGTCGGTCTGAGGCTCCACGCATACATGTCTGAACCTCATTATGTTGTGATCTGAGTATATTGTTTTTGATATGGTGACATTTCTTATCAGATCATCATTGTTAGTGAAGATGAGGTCTAGTGTATTCTCCAGTCTAGTAGGCTCTATTATTTGCTGGTTTAAATTGAATTTTGTGCAGAGATTTAAAAGCTCGTGTGAGTGTGAGTTTTCATCAGAGCTGCCTCCTGGTGTTATTACTGCAACAATATTATTTGCTATATTCCTCCATTTTAGGTGCCTTAAGTTGAAATCCCCCAGGAGCAAGATGTTGGGTGCAGGAGCTGGAAGATTTTCCAGACAGTGGTCAATTTTTAACAGCTGTTCCTGGAATTGCTGGGATGTTGCATCCGGAGGCTTGTAGACTACCACAATGACTAGGTTTTGGTTCTCGACCTTTACTGCTAAAACTTCCACTACGTCATTTGAGGCATTAAGCAGTTCTGTGCAAACAAGTGACTCTGCAATGTACAGGCCAACCCCCCCTTTTGCCTGTTCACTCTGTCACATCTGTATAGGTTGTAACCTGGGATCCATATTTCGTTGTCCAAGTGATCCTTTATGTGGGTCTCAGTGAAAGCCGCGAACATTGCCTTTGCCTCTGCAAGCAGTCCACGGATGAAAGGTATTTTGTTGTTTATTGCTGGCTTTAGACCCTGTATATTTGCAAAGAAGAATGTTATCGGACTGGTGGTATTGTTGGTACTGGGGGGGGGATTTTTTTTCCGGCATTAGTATCTGTATCTGTTGGTTTGGAGTGGAGGCCATCGACTGTGGTTCCACTCCAGGAATGACTGGATTTGGTGTACGATTTCTGCCATTTCCTGCCAGTTTTTTTTTCCTTCCTGGCACTAAAAAAACCTCTCCCTCTTGAGTGGCTGTGGCTACCCAG